GAGAGGGAGAGAGAGAGAGAAACATCGACGTGAAAGGGACACATCCAGTGGCTGCCACCGCACGACCAACCAGTGCCAGGGCAAACTGCAACCGAGGTACGTGCCCTTAGCAGGAACCGAACCCGGGTCTCTCTGGACCACAGGCCGACACTCTAACCGCTGAGCAAACCGGCCAGGGCCAAACCTCTGGTTTTATGCAGATGGTGTGATTGTTTACACATAAAATATAAGATAATCCACCAATAAACTTTTACAACTAGTAAGAAGTTCATATTTCAAACAAGAAATGCTGGCGAGGATGTAGAGGAAAGGGGACTCTAGTACACTGCTGGTGGGAATGCAGACTGGTGCAGCCACTGTGGAAACCAATATGGTGTTTCCTCAAAAAATTAAAACTGGAACTGCCAATGGACCCAGTGATTCCAATTCTAGGAATATATCCTAAGAAGCTTGAAACACCCAATCAGAAAGAATATATGCACCCCTGTGTTATAGCAACACTATTTAAAAGCTAAGATCTGGAAACAGCCCGTGTCCATCAATAGATGAGTAGATAAAAAGCTGTGGTTCATGTACACAATGGAACACTATGCAACTGTAAGCAAGAGAGATCTCTTACCCTTTGAGACGACATGGAGGGACCTGGAGAGTATTATGTTAAGTGAAATAAGCCAGTCAGAGAAAGACAAGGACCACATGATCTCACCTATTTGTGGAACATAATGAACAAAATAAGCTGTTGACCAAAAGAGATCCAGAATCATGGAAGCAGGGAACAGACTGACAAACCTCAGAGGGACGGGGGGGTGAAAGGAGTGGGGAGAGATAAACCGAAGAATTTATATGCAGATGTGCACAAGCAAGCAACACGGACACTAGGCTGGGGAAGGCAGGAGCGGGGTGGGAGCAGGAAGTAGGGGGTCAATGGGAAAAAAAAGAGGGACATCTGTAATACTTTCAACAATAAAAAGTAAATAAATAAATAAAAAGTTCAACAAGGTTGCTCAAAACAAAATTAATATGAAAAAGAATCAACATTCTTTATATTAATAACAATCAATTAGATTAGAAAATGGCATGGGAAGAAAAAAACGCCATTCCCCATAGCAACAAAAATGAACATATCTAATAAAAGCCTACAAAATTTGTATTAAGGGACAAAAAAGAAATAGAGAGATAGACTATGTTTATAAATGGAAAGATGTCATTTCAATCAAAATCCCAGCAGAGCTTTTCCCCTGGGGGAAAGGACCAAGAATTCTAGGCAGTGTTTGAAGAAGGACTGGAACAGGAGGAGGGAGGGATTTCCATGATGATGTACATAGGAGCTCTGGTGACTAAGTGTGGTGTGGTGCTGAAGCAGACAGATTCACCAGGGGAAGACAGAGACTGCAGGGACAGACTTGAGAATCCAGGAACTCGAATAAGCCAGGGGCAGCATGTCAAACAGGTATGCAAAGGGTTGCTTATAAATAGGTGGGATCATTGGTTAGCTTCGCACATGGCAAAATCATTAAGAACATGGATTTCTACCTCAAACCAGCCACAAAATAAATTCCAGTTGGATGAACCTAAATAGAAAGGAGCAAAACTTAAAAAACCTTTGAAAGAAAATACAGAAGAAATCATTGTCACGTGTAAAAATACTAAAAAGCACAAATTGTAAGAGGAAATGATTGATACATTTGACTCATTACAATGAAAATTTTCTGAGTGGCAGGAGACATCGTAATCAAAACAATAGCCCATGGAGGAGGAGATCACTTCAACGTCTGTAACTGACAATGATTACTGCACAGGCTATGGAAAGAACATCCACAAATGAAAGAGAAAAAGCTGATTCGGCAGAAGAAACAGGAAAAGGTCAAGAGCAGGCAAGTTACAGAAGAGGAAATACAAGTGATCAATAAAAACAGAGGTGTTTAACATCACTAGAAATCAGGATATGCAGATTGAATGCAGTGAGACATAATTTCACAATCATTAAACTGAATTAAAACTTTGCAGTCTGTCAGTACCAAGGGTTGACGACATTGTGGGGGAATTAGCGGTTAAATTGGCACAAGCACTTTGGAGCGTAATTAAGCCAAGTCTGGTATAGTTATCGTGATGCATGCCCAAGGGAAACATTGCATGTGGCATGGCAGACACAAACATAAATGCCCATCGCAGTGTTTATAACACAAAAACAGGGTGGCGTCCATCAACAGAATGGATAAATGAACCGCGCCACAGTCTTCTGGACTATATACTGCAAGAGGTAAGAAGCCTCGAAGGCAGTCAGGAGGCCGAGCCCTGGTTCTTGGTGTGTTTCTGACTGATGATAGATGCTATTCAAGTCACTTGTCCCTCTGAGCTGAGACTATCTCCCCAGGGCTGAGTGCAGATTCCATCTGCGCAGAGAGGCTTCTCTGACCCCACTATTTATACACCCCGCATCTGCACCCCGGCACCCCTTTGTCAAGAAGCAGAGTGGTTTACCGGGTGAGTGTGGAGACTGGCCAGACTGGGCTCAAATCCCGGCTTTACCAAGTACTGTGTGTGTGACTGTATGCAAGCTATTTAAGCTTTCTGTGACTCAATTTCCTCCTCTGTAAAATGGAGATAATAGTTTTCGCCTTAGAGGATTGTTGTGAGGACTGAATGAGTTAATATCCCGGAGACTTAGAGCTGCCCGCCCCCCCCAAGAAAGGCAGTTACCAGTCAATTACATGCGTTAAGCTGAGCAGTGGGGGGGTTGGGGGGGCACATCTCAGAAACAGGCTGCTGAGTGAAAAGGGGGCGTCCTGCCTGCATCTCAGCCTTCCCTGGACTTGCCTCCGAATCACAGCAGCGCGCAGTCAGTCCCTGGACACTGGTCACGCCTGCAGTCAGGGGTCCCTCTCGGGTTTCAGTTCCTCTCCCCTGCTGTCCAGGCCTGTCACAGCCTGGCCAAATGGGTTTGGGGCAGTGTTTATAGAATTGATTGAGTCGAATTAATTCTGAAAAGTCCTTGAATGCCAGAGGATGAAAACACCATTGATTCTCTCAGATGCTTATCTTAAGAAGTTGAAATAGGACATGGGGAGGGTGGGGGCAATGGAGCAGGTGAGCGACACAGACACCCCAAAAGGGAGAGAATCCAGAGCAGGGTGTCTCCTAAGGCAGTAGTTCTGTGAGCCCAGGTCATGGAGTGGGGCTCCTCCAACCCCTGTCTGAAGGCCTGTCCTAAGATCTATTGGGTAACTGAAGCATTAACTGCCACATTCACAGAGGATTCTGTGCATAAAGAAAGATCTAGAAGGATCCAGGCAGAGCCCTTAGTACTGGCTACAGGAGGGAGAGTGGGATTGGGGTAGGGTGAGGTGGGGGGTCAATGGAGGACTTTATTTTTTACTCCGTTTACTTTTGCTGTATATACTTTGGCATTGCTTGAGTTTTGTACAGCAAGAAAGAATTTATCACGTGAAATATTTAAAAGGAAAATTAACTTTGCACAGAGAGGCACTCAGTGAACGGGCATCACTAGTATTCTTTAAAAGAGAAACAGAGGCCGCCCTCCCGGCACAGAGGTCCCAGCAGGAAGAGGACCAGTGGCACCCCCTGCTCACACACTGGGCATCCTACGTCCAGTTGTCCAACGTCTTCTCGCCACCCCGCACCTGCCGCTCGTCCTGGCCTAGCCCTCGACCTACAGCAGCTTCCTTGTTTCTACCCTGGAAACGAATAGAACCTCCACTTTACAGATGCAGAAACTCAGTCACGGCATGTTCAATAACGTGCCCCAAGTCCACATTGTGAAATGGCAGGGCTGGGTCCAACCCACGTGGGGTGTATGTTCTTAGCCACCCCCAAATCGCCTCCCTCACAGCCTTCTGTGCCCTCGCCTCTTGGAGAAGAATCAGAGACTGCAGCCTGGCTACAAGGCCCCATCCGAGCTGGCCTTTCAGCCTCTCCAGCCTTACCCCACCCCACTGCCTCCCCACACACCCACTGGCTCCCTGGCTGCTCCTCCACCTAGAACATTCTTTCCTTTCTGATCTTCAAATGGCTTCTTCTCTCCATCGCTGCTTGAATGTCACCTCCTCCGAGAGGGCTTCCTTGATCACCTTTTCTAAAATAACCCACTTTATTCTCTGACCTTTCCTGCTGTAATTTTATTCATAGACCTTGCACTTCTCGATGTGACATCATAAGGTTACTTGTTTGATTGTTTATTATGTGTCTTCTCTCCCTAGAATATCTGCTCCATGAGGACAGGGGCTTTGCCCCTTGTGCCTGGAACAGAGCTGGGCACAGAACAGCAGCACAGTGAGTGAATAAATGCGCCCGCGGTGGCCCATATGGATGGACACTGGGCCTCTCTGGTGCCAGGTCTAGGCCTGCTGTCTGGGCTGCTAGGAAGGTGTCCACCCCCTGCACGGATGGCGCTCCTGCCCTCTGGGCCAGCGGTGTGGCCCATCCTGCCCTCTGCGGTCCTTGGACTAGCAGGGCAGGGGTGAAGTAAGGGCTCCCATGTTCTTCCAGGCCCTCCCCATCCCATCCGGCCCTGCACCGCCCTCTAGCCCCAAGGTTCTTGCCTCCTTACACCTGGAATCAGGTCTGACAAAACCGTCTCCCCACAGTGACACACACAGGAAGCACAGCCCTTCCCAAGGGTATCTGCATTTTACTCAGGCCAGGCAGGGGCACACTTCACCCCATGTCTGTGTCATGGTGCAACTTCCAGGATGTTTTCGGGAGATCCTGCCTCAAACTGAGGGAGACAGGGCATCACAGGTAAGAGTACTGAGGACAGAGAGATGGGCCCAGCTCACCTGGTGGGCTAGAGACGGGGACCTGGCAGACCCCAGCTTCAAGAGTCACAGCCGCTCGCCATCCCCCTCGACCCACCTCCTCCTCTCCTGTCTCCCAGAAGTCCTGGCTTTGCTCCCAGAAGCATCCCTGAGCACCCCTCACCCCCCGAGGCTCCGCTTTGGGGACTGCCCCAGAGGCTCGGGGACCAGGAACGAAGGCCTTACCCATCTCGATCCCGCAGATGACCAGAGCCGCAATCACCGCGCCTGCCGAAGTCCCCGCGAAGCGATGGGTCGTCTCCAGCATGCGAGGGGCCAGGTCCCTCAGGGCGTCCACCACCCCGGCCTGGTAGTAGGAGAGGAAGCCACTGCCAGAGAAGGAGATGGAATGAGGGGTGTCCGGGTCCCCCTTGAACACCTGTTCTTCCATCTCAGCCGGGGGGCCTCCCGCGGCGGGGAGGAGTCACCCCTCAGCGCTGGCCGCCCGAGCTGGCCGCCCTCCTGTTGGAACCGGCTGCCAAGCTTCCCTGCCAGCCCGAGCCTGGAATGTGGCCGGCTCTCCGGGTTGGCTGCGCACCCAGGGCGGTCGGGCAGCGTGCCTGGGCCTGTTGAGCTCCGCCAGGACGAGGTGAGGAAGGCCCCAGAGGTGTGAGCAGGCAGGTCCTGACGGCACCCCGGCTTCATCGGGAGGCTAGGTTCATCTCTGGCAGAGTCCTCAGCCCTCTGCCCATGCTGGGTACACCAAGGGGTGTTCAAGCTGCCACACAGAGCCCAGCCCAAGGAGGCGGGCACTGCCCAGCCCTCATCCCAGAAGGCTTCACACACTGAGTTGCAAAACTTCCGCTGATGGTTATCAGGGGGTGCCTCTCTGCCGGAGGGACCTTTGATGCTGGCCTCCCTCCACGGTGCCCCCTTCCCACAGGGGCAGGACTGGCAGATTGGCTCTGGTTTTTGAAGGGGACACACTCCCACCTTCCATGCCCCCTACTGTGATGCCCTCCCTGGGCTCCTTCTCCCTGTGGTGTGTGGCACAGTTGTCTGTATTTGCTCTTCTTACATAAGCTCCCCTTTGCTATGCACCTGTTTGTTCACGTGTTAGGACTGGCCACGGGCAAAGCTGTAAAGGAAAACAAGTTGGGCCTCGGGGGCCCCGCCCACCTCCGCCACTCCATCCTCACCCCCTTTCCCTCTGGCCCCTCCCCGGCCCACTGACCCGTGTCACACCCTCTCACCAAACCCCAAACTTTCATGCTGTCTCCGAAGTGTCCAGGGAAAAAAATCGATCTGAACTCTAGATCGCTCTGTGTGTGGGCTCCATGTTGTATACTCTCCTTCCCACAAGTCCCATTGGTTTCCAGTTTAACAGCCATTCCCACCTTCTTCCTGGCTAGTCAAACCCTAACTCGGTTTTTCCTCTTCAGGCCAAGCAAGTCCCAGAACAAAGGGGATTAAGAAAGAGCAGATGAACACAATTCTGGCCGATAAGACAGAATAATATGCTGGGAATTCTCAGAAAGTCTTCTTTGTGCTTTAAAAAGAGACGAACAAAAATGCTGTGTTCCGTAATGGCTGAGCAGCTCCTAGTATATCACAGACTCCCCACGTGACAGATTTAGGAAAAGCAACCACGGAGACCCCCAGAGTGACCAACGCACACGCAGTGGAGAGGAGTCAATCCTGGAAAGAAGGGAATAAAGAGCCTGGGATAAGTTTGTTTTTTGTTTTTTTGTTTTTTTACTTTTTGTAGCTTTTTGCCTGAGGGAAGACCCTAGTGGGGGGGAGCATGTGGGTGGTTAAAATGAGGATAGAAGCTCACAGTTGTACTGGTGTGAAAAGCCAGAGGGCAGTGTTCTGGTGACCATGCAGCTGGAAAGGGAGGAGAGAGACCCTGGAAAGGATAAGGAACCACGAAGGCAGAGCCCCAAACTCTGTGTAGACTCTGCTCAAATCTCTGGACCTCACATGTGCAGGACAGACTCTAAGATTTCAGCTCCCGTCTATCAGAGAGGAGACAATACATGTAGTTTGAGAACACAGTCTTGTTAGCTGACTGCTGAAACACACAAATAGATAAAAATAAAACAAATAAATTAGAACAGCAATGCCCTTCAGAAGAACAAAAGGAATCCAGAGTGTCTACAGCAGAATATTTGCAACATTCAGAATACAACCCAGAGGTCCTTGACGTTAGATTCAAACAAACAAAGTAGCACTTACGATATTGAGTTTTGCTAGTCCTATAGCTGGGGGAAAGGTTGCCAATTAATTGTCATAACTCACAGTTTCGGATGATGCAGACATTTGATATCTAGCCAAACTGGGAGGGAAGCCCAGGTCATTTCTCTTAACATCTTTATCAATGTCTCCTGGGATTGTGCTTCTCTCTTAATGCCCAGGCTGTCCTGTCCCTCAGGAGGACAGAGACGACAACCCAGTTCCTGTGGCCTCTCCTGTCTGCTTATCCAGGGCCCAGAGAGGTCTCAGCGCCGATGGGGACACAAGGCTGAGGGTTAAGTAAACTCAATAGCCAGGATGATGGATTCTTGGTGTGGGAAGCCAGACAGGTCCTTACATCAACCCTGCCAGGACTTTTTAATTCCGCTCCAGCTAGAATGGCCCCTTCTAATCAGAGGACCAAGACCAGGATGACAAAAGACTGTAGTGGACAATAACTTGGGATGAGTAAGAGAAGAACAGAAACATTCATTTCTCAAGAAACTAAAGTGTTATTTAAATCTAAGAGCTTATTTTTCAAAAATGATGCATGATGTTGGATTATTTACAGTTTACTATTTAATAGTTACCTTGTTTAGCTGTTTGACTGTACTGGCCTGCTCTTATCACCTTGTCCTGATTAAATAAACAAAAGGCCAACTATGAAGCTTTCAGAGGCAAACTGAAGAAGTACCAGCTGGCCTGGTACTTCTCCAAATGAATTTGTCCTCTAAGCGAATTAGTTAGTTTTTAAAACTTAGAAAATAAAATGAATAGCAGGATAGATGTGTGCTGACCCAGTTCACCCAGTTCCCTTTCGCCTCAGCTCCCTCCCATCTCTGTTCCCTCCCGCTTATGGCTAACTGCCTCTGCTTTTGTGCTTGCTTGCTTGCTCTCCCCCAAAGCCAACAAGAAATGCCAGCTGCAGAAGTTTGTAACAAGCCCCCTATAAAATAAAAAAGGAGCTAACGGTTGGGGCTGATCTCTGAGAACCGGGGATCAGTCGCCCGCCAGCTTTGCTCTCTATTTGGCTTTAATTTGGCTCTGGTGGTCTCTGGGTTCTCTCGTGCCACAACATTTGGAGGCCCCAGTGAGATCCTCCCCTTACAGGGAAGCCCCAGACGGGACCACTAGACCGGCTATCCAAACTGCAAGGGGGCTGGTCTGGGGAAAGGCCTGGGAGGGACATTCCTCTGCCTGGGGACTAAGCCTGCCCTCTCAGTTTCCCTAGCCCGGTCTCACCCTGCTCTAAACTGAATTCTGAGAGCGCCTGGACTCATCCGAGTCGTCTGGAATCTCACTGGTGAGTAGTTTTCTGTTCTGTTGGGCGCCCTTCGGTGACAAGGGGGGAGGCTGGACGCGCATCACTCCCAGCCAGGTTCCTTGGTCAGACGTCGCAGGGAACTCAGTCAGTTGTCAGTTCTGTTTTGGTTTCAGTAACTTCGGTTTCAGTCAGTTCTGTTTGTGCTTTTTGGTTGACCTTCGGTTTCAGCCCTGTCTGTATTGTTTTCCTGTTTGTTTATTGGCCCTATGGATCGTCTGTTGTTGTCTGATTGCACTTTCCTTTGTTGTCATGGGCCAAAGCCAATCTGGTACAAAAACTCCATTACAGTGCCTAGTGGGTAATTTTAAAGATTTCAAAACTCAGGCAAAAAGCTATAATGTCCCGGTAAGCTCTGGACCTTACGGACCCTATGTGAACTTGAATGGCCTACCTATGGGGTTAATTGGCCACCTGAAGGTAGTTTCAATTTGCAATTGGCTTTTATGGTCCATCAGAAAATATACAGGAGCCCTGGACACCCGGATCAAATGCCATATATTGATATTTGGATTGATATAACTACAGACAAACCCAATTATATTAAAAAATGTCAGTGTCCAGAGGTTCAAATGAAAGGAAAAACAGTTTTGTTAACAATGCCTCAGCCTGCCCTGAGGGACAGTAACTCCTCCAGCCCTGAGGAAATTCTATCCCGTCCTTCAGGACCCCCTGAGGATATACTAAAATATCAATTAACCTGAGTTTGCCTACTTTGGGTTCTTATTACAGAAAAGCTAGAAGATGAATTTGGATCTGTTATTGATCTATTGATTCGAAAAAATATCTATTGAAAAATATGAATATATTTGCCAATCTGAGGAATGTTAATTACTTGTACTTGTCAAAAGAAAAAAAAATCAACGTTTCTAAGAGTTAAAAGTTCAGATTAGTTAGAAAGAAATTATATGGTTTTGATGAAAGAAGATATAAGATATGGAAATACATATATATTCTTTGAAAGAAAATTGTTCTAAAATTGGTTATTTCTGAATGGATAAAAAGGTTTATGAAAATTAAAAGATTTGTTAAGAGAAATCTTAGAAGGAAATCATAAATAAGACAAATAATAAATTTAATAAGATACATGAATCTAAAATACATTAATATAGAATTTATTTAGTTCTTTTTCAGCCAAAGGGAAAAAGTTTTTTCCCCCACTATTTGCCTGGGGAGCACAAGTTACATATATTGTTGAAATGGTTCTATGTTATGTTAATCAGGTTCCTTAAAGACTCATTTTCTTAATCATAAGAACTGAAGTTTCACTGACCTATGTTTATGTTTAACATCTGTTGTCGTCACTTTAAATGAATAAATAATTGAATACTATTTATTAATAATAATACTATATAATCTTTTGGTCAAATATGTTTGACAACCTTCCCAGGGTTTGAATTTTAAGAAACTTTTTCTTGACCTGGAATTAGCTTTGGGTCCTTCCAATAGGACCTGGAATTCCTCAAGGGTTTGTGTTCTCTCCTTATGAAAGGAAACCAAATCAATGCAGATGGCTTAGCACAGTCTGTTTCCCCACTGGAGTATGGGTAAGGGGACAACAGACTCCAAGTGCGAGAGCATACACACTAGTAAGAGTGATTATTTGTTCACTTAGCAGATGTATAGAATGCCTCTTATATGTGGGTCTCTGCTAATGCTGTGGGTTATACAAACAGTCCTCACTCTCAAGGGGAATATAAGATAAGATATTTGGTAAAGTCATGCTTGGGTTATTTAAAGAAAGAATGTGATTAAGCCCCAGAGGCCTGAGGATCAAGCTCTTTTTGGTTTAACTGAGAAAGTTTTTTCTTTCGTGGTGCTACAATTTACTCACATGTAAAAAGAGAAAAATGGATCTGAGCTATGGTTTCTAGAGCATGGATAAAATGATACCTCTGATGT